GGCATTGCTGTGATACTGAACACTGTGCCACTGGTATATCAAATGTCTTAATGTCTACCCATGATAGACAGGTTTTGGTAGAGCTCCCAAATTAAGAAAGGCTTGGAAGAATGATTGTCTTAAATAATAGACTTCCGGAAACTCTATGAACATTAGAGAAATGATGATAATTATAGAACAAGGTTCAGATCTTTTGTTCACAGGGTCACTAAGAGTTAAGCTCAACTCAACAGCACTTAGCAACAACAACAATAACCACAAAGTCTGTCCAACTCGTATTAAGCTTCTCTGAGTTTCCATGGCTATAAATTACAATGGAGGAGACTGTTCATTCTTTTCTCAAAGAGTCACTGATGGATTCAAACCATCAGAGACAACTCTTTAGGGACTAAGCCTCAATCACTAACCTGCAGATAATTTACTCGCCACTATCAGAAATTATTTTATACTTACAACATACGATATATAAATTAGAACTCAAGGACTATTTATCTAGTATGTATGCAATCTAAATATTTTTGGAAGGAGGAGTAGAGGAATGAATGGATAAAGAAGAGGTATTATGGAAAGAAGACCATGTAAAGTAGACATTCTTGCACAAATCCTGGTATAAAACAGAGCATCAATACCTCTAATTTATCTTCATTATAAAAATCCCAGAGATGTTTTAAGATGAATAATAAAGGTATTCTGATACCATCACAAATAAGATTAATTGGTACTTTAAGACATCTGGCCTTTGATATAAACCTATCTTTTAAACAGCTGCATTACATTAGTTGACCCTCTGGGCTTCTGTTTTTTCATACAAACCTAAACAATTTAACTAAATTCTAAACATCACTGCTAGTTCTAATTGTAAACCAAGCATGATGGGCTCTTCATACAGAGCTTCAATAGTTACCCTGCATTCATATTAAAAGACAATTTATAGTTTCATAGATATCAGAAATACATTCAGCTTTACTTTACTTAACAAGAAATTACCATTTTTGCCAAATAGTTTTTGTCAAGATACAGAGGAAATATTAAATACTGTACCACATAATATTTCCTACGAAAAAATATCCCTTTTAGCTTTCTGTTCCCTTTCACCACCACAGTTGTTGATTATCCATTTCCCTGTCTTTGGTCAAAGGCTCAGTTATTTAGCCTAACTGCACATCTCTTTATATCTGGAGCTCATTCTGCCCGTGAATTGCCTAGCTGAGTAAACAAAGAATCATCAAAGATTTCACTTCTTCAGGGCAGCAGAGAACTTTAAATTACAAGTTGAACTTTACATTGCATTCAGAAAAAGTAAATAATGGCTTTAAAGTTTGTTGTGGTTTTTGTTGCGCTACATAACAGAAGCAGCTCATAGCTGGCTTTCCAGTGAATTTTCAAAGGCTATAAATCACACAGGAATAGATTGCTCAACTTTTTTCCTCAGAGAAGCCGGTGAATTTCAACTATCTGCCTTTGAGTTGACAGCAGTCCTTACCAATCAGGCTACTCACAATCTTTGTATTAGCTTCTTTATTAGCTTTTTTCAGTGAAAGTCCTTTTAGAAAGAGGCACTGAATTACAATATTAACTACAATAAACCAAAAGGAGAATGGTAAAGAGTTATGCTACCAACCCAAAGATGAGCCATTTGAATCCACCAGTTTCTCCATGGGAGAAGATGGACAATCTCCTCCTGTGTAATTTGCAGCTTCTGAAAACCTGTTGGAGTTCAGCCATGGGTATGCTCTGATGGATGGGCTCTAAAAACAACAACATTGTGAACCAATAACTACCTGACATCATTGAAGTGCATGATAATCTCACTGTGACAGAGTAGAATTGCTTCACAAAGTTTTAGTGATAATTTGTTTGGTTTGGTTTTGTTAAAGAACATCTTCAGGAACATTAGAATACTTCTCAATGATGCTTTTAAATCTTAACTTCTGATGAAAATATTGCTGCTATTTTTAACCAGCCATTAAGCTTTCCATCTCTCTCCACCTTTTTCTTCTGATGTAGTTTTTGTTTAACTCGGAACTAACAAGTTGATGTTACCTTTCCTTTTGAAACTCTTCATGGTTATCCAAGTTGTTGTTGTTAGGTGCCAATTCATAGTAATGCTATGTACAACAGAAGGTGACTTTGGCTGATCCTAAGTCATCCTTGCATTCCCCATTGTACTTAACCCTATTGCTGCAGTCATTGTGGCCCTCCAGTCATCAAAGTTCATCTTCTTGTTCATGGACCCACCACCTTTCCAAGCATGGGTTCTTTTTCCAAGAACTGTCCTCTCTTGAGATCATGTTCAAAGTAAAAGAGATGAAGTCTCACTATTTTTGCATCTAAGGAACACTCTGCCTATACTTCTCTGTCATATTGGTAATCCATGGTATAGTCAATATTCTTCACTATACTTCAAAACATCAATTCTTTTTCAGTCTTTCCTATTCATTGTACAATTTTCACACTCATAGGAAGCATTTGAACATATTTTATGTTTGGCTCAAGAGTAGCTTAGTCTCTATTATGACATTCTTATTCTTTAGTATTTTAAAAATTTCCTTGGCAGGTAGTGTAATATATCTTACGATGTTTTAATGAGTATTGCTTGTGTGTTCAAGAAGAAAGAGTAAAGTCCTTGACAACTTCAATGTTTTCTACTTTTATCATTATGCTTATTAGTCCATTTATGAGGATAATAGTGAAGGTTGTGATCAATCATGTCTTTTCTTCAATAAATTCTTCAAGTCCTCTTCATTTTAAAAGATTATGTTTTCTGTGTAACAAGTTGTTAGTCCTGATACCACTTTCTTCTTCATTTAATCTAGCTTCTTAGATTATTAGCTTGGCATGCAGATTCAATGGTTATACAACCCAAATACATATCTTTTCTTATTTTAAGATTTGCATTATCCCCTTGTTTAGACCTGTCCGCTCTGGGTAACTTTAATATTATTTAATATAGTAGGGACCTCTCAAAGGTATTCAGGAGCAACAGTGTCTCTCTGGAGACTAAGGTGCACCTGACACAGGCCATGGTATTTGCAATCGCTTGTTATGCATCAGAGAGTTGGACAGTGACTAGGGAGGACAGAAGGAGAGTGGATGCTTTTGAGCTGTGGTGCTGGAGAAGGGTACTGAATATACCATGGACTGCCAGGAAAACAAACAGATTCATCTTGGAGAGGATTAAACCAGGCTACTCCTTGGAGGCAAGGATTCTGGGGCTTCGTCTGACATACTTTGGACATGTTGCCAGGAGGGACGGGTCCTTGGAGAGGGACCTCATGCTTGGGAGGGTAGAGGGACAGCGCAGGAGGGGAAGACCCTCTATGAGATGGATTGATTTGGTGACTGGGGTAATCGGGATGGGTGTGTCAGAGGCGGTGCGGTTGGCGCAGGATAGAGCAGGGTTTAGGGCTGTTGTGCATAGGGTCGCTATGAGTCGGAAACGACTCGACGGCACATAACAACAACAATAGCGGAACTTCCAGCATTACAGCATCATGCATGTCACCACAATACAATGAACTAATAGATAATTGTTGATCCCCATTACATATAGCTAAAAAGCTATATTTCAGGCCAGTCCAGTATATCAGTTCTATTTTGATTTTGCAGCCTGTAGAGGTAAATGAAGCTGAAAACAGAAGGGAAATCTGTCTGTAACTGAGAAGAGACTCCACAGAACCCCAATTTGGCAAAGTCCATAGAGAAATGTAGTGGCTAATCAAAAAGACATGCTTCTCTGGCAGTTTAAATTTACTGGCAGCTCTGTGGGAGAAAAATGGGCAGTTTCTACCCATGGGATATATAAGCTTCAGAAACCCACTGGGAAGGTCAACTAGGGTCAGCTTCTCCTCAAAGGCAATGGATTTTGTTAAATTTACACTCCAGCCCGACCTTCCAAGATATTTCCAAAAAAGGAGAAGACTAATAGTGTCGTAGTCAGGATGAGGCTGCACTGCTAACTCGTAGTGGGTGCCTCTCTGGTGGTTCAAATCCACCAACGGAGAAAGAGAAAGATGGGCAGTCTTTTCCCTTACAATTTATAATTTCCAGGGACTCACTGGAGGATGAACTATGAGTTGACCATGACTTGATGGCTATGGGTGAGTGAGTGAATCAGAATAAAGGTAATCAATCCCATTGAGAAGCAAGATAAGTCAGGCATGCCTCATCCCATGGAGGATGTTAAAGAACAGTACTTGTGGAGCAACCTTGTCAATTTAGTTATGGCTCCCTAAAAGTTTTATGAGCAAATTGACATGAGTTACTGTTTAAGTAGGCCACTATTTAGCACTACAACTTCATGAAATTGGAATCTGGAATAGCGTCTACTTCCTAAACAACATGCCTCTGGAAGTTCTATGAACTTAGCGAAACAACAGATAGTTACAGAATAGGGTTCAGGTCCTTTGTTTATATGGTTGCTGTGAGTCGTGCTCCATTTAATATCAATCAGCAACAACAACTCCATTAAAAAGAATACTATTTTAAACATTATATCAATGAGTAACTCTTGGGAAAACTTTTGCCTTTTTACAATTCACTTGAAGTTGTTGTGTATTATAGAGTCAGAACTGACTGACACTCCAGTGGATTTCCTGTGGTAGTTTAATCACATAAGAGAAGATTGTCCATCTCTCTCCTATACAGGATTTTGTGGATTTGTGCCTTGGGAATTTCAGCACAGCTCCTTGCCACTAGGCACTAGGCCACCAGAAAAGAGCCTTTTAAAAACCACACGTGTGTGTGTGTGTGTGTGTGTGTGTGTGTGTGCACGCACACATACTCCTCCCATATGCTTCCCAAAAGAATGTGCTAAGCAAGGCCAAACACTTTTCTTTCTAATTATAGAGAAGGATTTTGGATTTGTGTATGAGAGTATTACATTTAAGATAGAGTTCCAAGCTCCATGATGTGCTTCCTTGTCTTTGTTAAGTTTTACAAGTGATTTTTTTCACATTTCTTACTTGTTTACTTTTTTGTTGTTATTTATGTCTACAGAGGGGCTTAACTTTACTGGACTTAATAATACCTCAAAATACCGAAGAATCCCTATCCTAACTGAACTGAGTAAGTTGCATTTTAAGGTAAAAATTCAAGAAGAAATAGTTATTATACATAATTAATGCCTCAGTGTTTTCTTTAGAATCTATGAGGACTGAGAGACCAGAGTGGGGCCAAGAGAGCATTAAATGCTTGGCTCGGTATTACACTGGGCTTTTTCTTGGTCAGTGGCATCATCTAACAGAGAATATCAATATGTCAGGATATAAGAATAACATCTACCTTCTACCCACATACTGTGGGTAAGAGAGGGAGACCAGTAATAGGACCAGCTTTATTTATAAAGTAATCCCATTAGAAGAGGATAGTTTACTAGACATACTTCTAGAAAGTAGCTACTCCATCATGGGTCTTTAAGTCAAGTACTTGACTTTCCTATGTTAATACTGAGGACAGGATTGTTGTTGTTGTTGTTATGTGTCATCTAGTAGTCTGTGACTCATAGCAACCCTAAGTGCAATCGCTCTGAACCCTGCCCTATCTTTAGCCAATCTCATTGTCTCCAACACATCCACTCCCATTACCCCAGTTACTGATTCAATTCATCTCATCTGTCATCTTCCCCTCCTACACTGTCCCTCTACCCTTCCAAGCATGATGTCCTTCTTCAAGGACTAGTCCCTCCTGGCAACATGCCCAAAGTATGTGAGACAGAGCTTCAGAAACCTTGACTCCAAGGAGCAACTTAGTTTCACCCTCTCCAGGACAGGATCAGGGCAAAGCAAATGAGACACGATGGATGTGTCTCATAACTTAAAGAGTTATTCATTGCTTGCCTCAGACTAACTTGAATGATAAATTTCTAAGATATAAGCTCCACCTCACTGTGTGGAGAAATAACATGAAAAATTGTTTCTTTTCACCCACAACTTAGAGAACATAAACTTGTGTGAAGATTTTCTTGATATAACAATTTTTAGAAGCAAAAAAAAGTAGAGTAGGGAAAAGTCAAGAGTTGTGTCAGTAGATATTTTATACAGATGTTGATAAAAAGGGAGGATACTCACTGTGACTAGATACAGATTGTATTTTATGAAACACAAGGAGAAAGCCCACGAAAGGGTAATGGTTCTCTAACAGTTGTAACTATACAAACCTGAGCCTGAACATATGGTTTGACCTAACTCCATGTTATTGACAATGATTCTTGAATCAAAACCAACTCATAGCTGAGGCTGCTACAGCTTTTCAGGGGCAGTAAATCACACGTGAAGCAGCTATTGCCTATATTTATCCCATGGAACAGCTGGTAAATTCCAACCTCATGCCTTTGGGTTGACAGCACAATACCTTACCACTAAATCACCACTGTATATTATACCAAAATGCTTAGTCATAATTGTATAATTTAGAGTAGTTCTTGGCTGGTACAAAGAGATAAAAACTCAGCTACCAGAAAATATGGCCATTCAAACCCACCTAGAGGTGCCAGCTACAGGCTTGGTGATGGCGTTTGAAATGTCACAGCTTTGGAAACTCTATGGACCAGATTTTCTCTGCACATTCAGGTCACCATGAGTCAGAATTGACGAGAAAGCAAACAACAATCAACAGCAAAACCATGTAGGACTTATAGCAAGCTTGATAAATAGAATATTAAGCCTAGAAATGAAACAGGAGAGGGATCTTTGGGAGACACCGCCTTGTGAGGTGGTGTAGTGTGGCGTTCAAGGTAGCACGTGGGCAGACAATTGACCACACTGCATCCTGGAGCAGAGGTTCTTCAAATTCAGTGTTGGACATCTCAGATCCCATACTTACGGTCAGTATGGTCTCATGTTGCCAGTAATTTTTCTTTTTACTTTTTATCTCCATTTGAAGCACTTGTAACTCCTAAGGTGTACACACATTGAGCCATGTTCATGAAAAGAACACTGAATTAAAGAGTGATTAAAAGATCAGCCAGTTTTCCTCTTGAGGAAATGAAAGGCTTTGCTCAGCTTTCCACACAAGGGAGCCCTTGACTAATTTGCCTAACAAGTTATGCTATTTCACACTCAATCTCACTTTCTCTGGTTGACATTCATTCTTCAGAGAGCTCAGTTGAAATGAAAGCTGCAGGCTTGACTGTAACACTTCAGTAGAGATTATATGGGACCTGAAAGAAAGTAGCTCAGAAACTAAAGACATTGGCTAGTGCTGACCCATCCAGACTTGGGCGTTTGTTCAAGGATAAATATTTGTATGTGCCTGTTTGTATCAAAGCTTTTGAAGAATGCCAGTGCAAGGAAAGAAATTAGATTCCATATAAGAGATGAGCTGATAGCGTACATATATCATTGATGTTTTATGAAAATATTATTGTGCTTGGAAATAAATGATTCACTAATAGCATCAGTATATTATTTCTCCTAAATTTACCAAGGAATGACATAAGGAATTAAGGAGTGAGCTAGTAATGTTAAGTAATGTGTTCTGAGTTTTGTGTCCAGTTGACAATATGGTTGTTGAGATATAGGAAGTGTCTGAAATTTCATTCTACTTGTAAACCACCAAGTTAACCTGCCACAGTCTCTTGAATGCTAGCATAAAACACCAGACCATTAGGTTATAGATAAAAGGCACTTTATGACAGCAATAACAACAGCCAGAGATCATGATTTTTGTGCTGGTTTCATGAGTTCGCAAAGTGATAGAGAAAGGTCCATGTGGTATCTGTGCCCGTAACGAGTGGCTCTATAGAACAAGAAACTTCATCCTGAAAAATCAGGACCTATTATAAACATAAGCATGCCTCCCTTTTGCTTTGATGAGAGACATTATCTTCCAGTGCTATTCTCTACACAAATGTCTTTGAAGTGATAATTGCAACAAAAGCAGTCAGTACCCTGCACAAGGAAGAATTCAAGATACTAAAGAGCTGAACAGAAGATTCCAAAGGGCTGCTCAGAATGACAAAGCAAAATACTACAATGAAATGTGCGAGGAGCTAGAGTCAGAAAATCAAAAGGGCTGAACTCGCTCAGCATTTCTTAAGC